GTAATGTAAACAATTACACCTTGCTTATTCAAGTGGATCTATTTTTAGCTTCGTCAGACATTTTTCTGGTCATGATCTACAAAAAATCCCAATAAGACAGTAGTTCAGAAAACGGTCGCGACAACTAGCTAGAAAACGCCGCACACCTACGCTGTAAGCTGGCCAGAACTACCAGTAAGCTACCTAAGAGGGGAGGTCATAGAGAGTAGGGACGACCTAACCATACGTGGTCCTAACTTCTTAAACAGAAGCCAACCCATAGAAGCCAAGAAACTGACCCTCGAGAGGACTGATGTCTGATAACTGACACCCTGGCTCAAGCATTAACTAATCCCATTCAGGACATTGAAGGGGAACGAATGGAAACTTTCGAATCCCAGTAAACACCTCGTCCGATGCTCGGCTAACATTTCAACTTTTTATTTCTATATTTTGTGGGAAATTTTCAGAGTTGTAAGGAGCGTCGGGTCCATTTAGACCCCATCACATTGGTGGAGTTTCTGAAGCTTACCATTTGAGCAGCTTTCAGAATAGGATGTGCATGGCCCTCGTTCTTCTATAGATAATTCGCTGTTGTTCGCTAGAGTCACGAGTAAATGACTTTTGAGTGGTTTGCTTGAAACTGATAGGCTCCTTACCTCTGTAGTCCTGCTACCTCTTTGGAGGTGGTTATCTTCTCATTCAGAAGGTTAAATCAGGGCAATGGATGTCCAAACGTTGAATATTGTCTACCGGTTATGCCTAGACTATCGTATCCAGTATCTTTTCAGCATCATACAATAGGTTTCTGTCCTGCGTGGGAGAATGTAAACATCTGTCTGAATAATGATTTAAGACACCATTTCATAACATTTACATCGAGGAGACCTCATGAACTTCACAAAATTTCGAAATCCTGCTGTTTAAAGGAAAGGCTGACCAACGCCTACTATCCAATGATTCATCAACCAGTGGAAACTTCTAAACTGCACGTACCGAGAAGGTGAATGCTCGCTCAATTCCTTCTGTACGGCAAATCTCAGACTCATCAGACCAATCTGTTCCACTTAGGAATTTTCCAGATTGTTATAATCTCTGTCGGAACCTTAGTTCACATGGTCCAATCAATCATGTTTCAATTATACGGGAAATCAGGAAGTTGCCGGAGGGAAGGGTCTAGGCAAAGCATTTAGTAAGTGAGCTTCGCATGGCTCAAAACTGTCAACTCAAAAATCAGGGTATAAAGACACCGAAAGAATCTTTTCGTGTACCCTATCATGAACCTACCCTAACGAACGATATAGCAGTAAACTGTTCTACAAACAGTTTCCATTTGAAAAAGTTGACTTACCGTTGCCATCGCAAATCTCGTCGGCACAGCATCAGCACGTTCGCTGATCGAAGGAGTTCAATTTCGTATCGATGCTACTTTTTCTGTAAATGCAGATTCCTTCCAGTTATCGTACGACAAATTAAAGGACGAAAAAGATAACCAACAAGAACAAAATAGTTTCCGTTTTGCGAGTTCTTGGTTCATTCAAGGCTGTATCACGATGCCATACCTTAAAACCCATTTGACTTTCAAGAGGGCAGCTGTAATGCTCCTATTATGCCAACATGCTGTTGTGAAAGGTGCCACTTTCCCAATTAATATGACACCAAATAGATCCTATATGGAAGACCTGCACATGACCTTCGAAAGTTCGGAATAACCGTATTCATAAGGTTGGCCGAGATAGGAAAGCTGCTTCGAGTGCACAGAGCAGAATGGAGGTCCCGACAGATACCCACCCAAGCCTTCTGGGTTCAGTTTACTGTTACCAATTCAGTCTGTGAGGATGGAAGCCCTAACTTTTAGTCGGCTATCCACCGCGAGACACCGAGCAGTCCACATACGCGTTCAAGCCGCCATTACCTTACCAAAGAATGTCAATAGCTTGGGAGCATCTCAAAGATCACAGGTTGATGAACATCGAGGACCTTATCCTTTATCCCTTGATGGCCGAAAACGAGCAACACTTCGAGACAGAGGCTTTGAGTCCTCCACCATTGGAAAGTAGATGAACATTCGATGTAGAAGTCTTTTTCAGGGTAAATCCAAAAAGGGGTCTCGATGGTATTTTTTTGCTCTTCTCTTGATAGTACAAAGTGAATGGAAATTAATTCTCTGAGTAGTACTGAGGAATACCCAGCTGTTTGTTCTCATACATGCTCCTGTAGGGTTTCCGGAGTTCCGAGCTTCTTCATCGAACGATGATCAGGGATGACGTTGCTTACAAGAAATAAAGATCAGGTGGGCCAGACACGTTATACGATATAGTGATGACCGTTGGACCAGGACGGTTGCTCTATGGACCC